TTTTTTTGCACCCCCCCCCACACACACACTCATAAACACACTCAAACATGTAAGAGCTGCAGATAATTTGCAAACTAGATTATTAAAATGTGAGCTTCTTTCACTGTGTAAGTGTTGCTCCAGCTCTGAGTGCCATGTGTGTGCCTCCAGCCTTCAGGGCAGGGCCCTCTGGTGACCAAGGTGGCCACTCTGTGAATCATCATGTGTGGGTCCGAGTCAGTGTCCGCAGCCCAAACCCCCAAATTATTCAAGCAGGAGGCTAGACGAAACGTGAATCACTGGTCATTTTTTTTTGTTTTGGCATGCTTCTTAATTATGTCACCCTGTAATCTTGTTATGTACAATGTAGGTCGCAGACATGACTGTGCTGCTCCGAGGTGCTCCTGAGAAACTAGGTGTTTTCGGACTCCCAGCAGTTTTGGAGAACAGTCCGATGTCCAGTAGGGCATCTTCTGTGCCCACTGATTGTTAATTTGCAGGGGTGTGTGGCGACAGGCAAAACAAAGAGAAATGAGCTCTTGCTGTGCAGCTCCGGCAGACCGTGCTCAGCCCGGCCCGGTGAGTTCAGTGTGTGTGTGGAGGGTTTCACTCCGGCTGGACGCCTACACTGGGGGAATGTCAATTCCCTTTTGTGGATCCCTGGGAACGGTCTTCCATCTCTCTTCTTGGAACTGCTCTAATGAGGCCAGGCATATTGCCTTTCATCCCGCACTCCCTGCAATTAGGCATAGCTCATAGTTTTTGTCATGGCCGCAGCTGAGTGTTTGTATACAGACGCACAATGTAGTGGGCTAAGAGTGCCCACTCCCCTCCCAGCAACGTGMTCGTATACCTCCAACACTGCAGCTACTTTTCAGGATTTGCTGTTCTGACCTCTTCAAGCAAAAGGCCGCTGCGGATGGTATGTTTTTATGTGCCTCCCACAGCTCAAAATGAATCTCGTGCCAGAGAATACAGAGGAGGGTCATATGGTCATGATTTGCAGATTTAGCCAACATGGAGTGTATAACATTCCTTGAGTTCTGAAGAGTGGGGGGAGAAAATCAACAGTCTAATGCCAACAGAATCTATTTTCAAGCTGTTTTTGTACAAACACGCATCCGTTTCATTCTGTTTCATGATGCTCAGAAAACTCTCTGAAAAGCCAATACGGAGTGTCGTTTCTCGCAGCCCTGAAAGGACGTCGTTCTGCACAGGTTCACTTTTATTTGGCTCTTTCATTCTTTTTGGTGTTGCTTTTGTCATCGGACCAATGCCGTGTTCGAAGCCCAACCCGCTCAAAAACCCCACTAAACCAGCATGTTTGCTCAGTTCCAACCAAAAGAACCGTGCGTTCACTGGAAAAAAATAAAAGCCTTAGGGCTGGTGTGTGTGTGTGTGTGT